ATTTATTATTATTACTATTATTATTATGACATAGTGACTTAGAAACACTGCAACCCTCTTTTCCCAGTAATAAGTAAAGTGCTAAGCAGCAAAGTTCCTGTCCCAGCTGTGTCTCGTCTAGCTGTATCCTGTCTAAGACATCTTCCTATGGGATGGTGAGAGCTCAGTGGCCATGTGAACTCTGCTACTTCTCCACTTGAAGTTTTTCCCCGATAAGTTCAGTTAACTCTATTTATATTTAAACTTATGGTGCAAGCTGTGTTTCTGGGCCCACCTTACACATCACCAGCAATCGAAGAATAAAAACATTTTCAGATATACAAGTACTAAGAAAAATAATGATGCTTCCCACACACCCTTCAAAGTTATTTGAAAGTATTCTTTATCAAAAATAAGAAAAATATAGCCCTCCGGGAATTAGGAGCTCTAACAACCCAGGAAGAAGGGAAGGGAATCTCCAGGATAATAGAGAAAGGAGCTCCCAGGATATCAACTGTGCACCAGGGTGAGGACATCAAGTCCAGATCGAAGCAGGTTGACAGGCTCCAGAAGAGATTTTTACAAGAAAATGAAATTAACAAGCTATCTGGTATACTGGGGCATATTGAAAGGAGATCAAGAAACTGTAGAATATTTAAGGCTCAGTTGATCATAAATACTTAGAAAATTAAGTAAAGAAGAAAAGACAGCTATTAACTCCAAGGAAATAAAAAAGTTATAAGGGAAAAAAAACGATCATTGATCGGTTGTGAATAGCCAAATCCTCCTCTTTCAGAGTAAGAAATGAAAGATTAAAATCAAGATAATGTCAAAGACTAAAAATGAAGAAGTAGCCTTAAAAGTATGTTATTTAGAGATAAGGAGAAAAATACCAAAAGACTCCGCCAATTGATGTTGAAATTAGTTGCCTCTGGGAAGGGAGAAGTGGGGAGGAGAGAGAAGTGTGGGATCTCTGTTTATCATTACAAGTCTTACATACACAAATAGTTAAACTATTTGGCTCTATAAGACTTCTCACCTCAGATCTTGCAGAAATTCACCTTTTCAGTTAGACTTCCTCTGGCCACTCTATTCCTTGTCTCCTTTCCTCCCTCCCCACCTTTGTTTTTCATAGAATTTATCACTTTCTAACATACTTTATAATTTGCTTACTTATGATGTTTAGTGTTTTCATCTGTCTTTTCCTGCTGGAATATCAACAACACAGAGGCAGAGATCTTGTCTTTTTCATTTGTCCATATAACCCAAGTGCCTAGAATAGTACCTGGAACATAGTAGGTGCTCACTATCTCCACCCCCACCCCCCCCCATCCATGGAAAAATTGTCTTCCATGAAATTTACTGCAGGCTGAGGGGAGGGGGTGGGGAGGGTGGTGCTGCACAGCAGGAGGTGAGTGGCAGGTGAGGAAGTGAAGCTTCATCTGTATTTACAGCCCAGCCGCTGCTCCCCTCCCCATCACCCACATCACTGCCTGAGCTCCGCCTCCCCGCCCTCCCCAATCCATGGAAAAATTGTCTTCCATGAAACCGGTCCCTGGTGCCAAAAAGGTTGGGACCACCAGAGTAAATGAATTTAATTTTTAAACTATGTGAATGGGTAGCTTTGATTAAAAAAAATAAAATAAAATACTTAATCCACCTGAAAATTCTACCACAAAGCAAAAACTCCATACATAAAACGTTGCTTAGACATCTTGGTCGTCTATTAAAAAACATGGTCATGAGTTTTCTCAGACTTCAAAAAAGGATACTATTTTCAATGCATGGTGAATGCCCAAACAGGATACATGCTTACCTTTCTGAAGCGCTGATACAGTTGCCAACCACTGTAATACAAGAAGTAAGATTTACATAGCACATACATACAATGGTTATTGTAGGGTAAGGTTGTGAGATATGAAATTATTATAATGAAAGGAAGATAAAAGACATCTATTTGAAGAGTAATCAAATATTTTTGAATTAAATTATTATTCATTAGTTTATATCTGGTCTTGTTTAAAAAAGGATTTTAGGAAGCCTATGATAGTTTAGAGAATGTAATATTAAATTACATTTAAATTAAACTAAAAGCTTAGCAGAAGAAAACAGAAATCAAAGATGGGACAAAGGGAAGCCGAGAAAATGACTTAAAATTTGTACAATCATAGCCTGACACTGGTGTCAAATCTGTCTGTAAGTTCTGTGTCTATGAGTATTTGATTCAGCTGCTATTAACAGAGAGACTCAACATGTGGGAAGTTTAAATAAGACAACACATGAGTTTCTTTCTTTCACACAAAGAAGTTCATAGATGTGCAGTCTAGGACTGGTTTGGGAGCTCAACTCTACCTAGTGCCCAAGGATCCAAGCTCCTTTCAGCTCACCCCTAAGAAACAGTACCAGAAAGCCACTAAATACTTCTTTACAAGGTCTTACTATGTTGCCCAGGCTGAATTCAAACTCCTAGACTCAAGCGATCCTCCCAGCTCAGTCACCTGCAAAGCTGGGATTACAGGCATGCGCCATCACGCCCAGCTGCCACTGGGTACTTCTAATTCCATCTCATTGTCCAGAACTTAGTGATGACATGCCACTCCTAACTACAAGAGAAGCTGGGAAATATAGTCATCATTCCCAGCAGAGAGGGGTCCTGCTGAAAAATCTATTATAACACACGAAGGGGAGAATAGATCTGAGGGACAGCAAGAGTGTCAGTCACAGCTTCATGGTCAGGTTCAAAATAACAGAGCTGAAAAAGATGAGCAGTTGCTCAAGAAATATACAGCAGCCCTTGGTGAAAAGATTAGAAAAGGATGACTCTGGAGGTCTTCATACAAATGAAAAAGTTTAATATCTTCAATGACAGTCTTACCACATCAACGCAATTCATCTCATAAGACTGTTTCTTGTGACAACTCCCGATAATACATTCACAGTTTAGGGGAAATTTGTCAGCAGAGATTTGATTTTCTGAGTTCATTTTAACTGTATTTTTAAAAATCATGATAAAAACATGTTTCTTTGAATTTCGTGTTAGTGTCCTGAGCTTAAATATAAACATATATATTTGTTTCAGAATTAAAGAAAATTCTATTTACCTTCGTTTACGGGAAAGAAACCACTGCAATCACAGAGACTACCAGAATATTGCAAGAAATGGTATGTAGCTTTCTATTTCAGCCTTCTGCAATGTACCTGTAATGAATGATTTTCTTTTCTAAATACCTTGAAAGCTGAGATTTAGGTAACAAGACCACAGAACAAAATGAACAATCTCTCTTCCAACATCATTGCCCTTTCTGAGAGAAGGGCCCTGTGCTTAGAGGCATTTACCCACAGCAAAAGGGAACAAAAACCAAATGCAGTCACAGGGTAGACCAAAGGGCAGATCAGTCATCCCACAGCAAGTTCTAGAAAGGCCAAGGTGCAGGGTGTTTAAGGCTCAGGAGGCAAGACCTAAGTGAGCGTTAGCAGAACAAGGGCTGAGCAAAATCAAGGTCATTGCAAAAGCTCTGCCCTCTCTGATGGTGAGAAGTCTCCCACGTTTCTGCTGGGGTCGGAGTTTTAAGTTTCACCTGTGTGGGTTTCAGCCTTCCACCTTTGACCCGGAAGTGGTCTACTGATAGAAGATTTTAATGAAATGCCTAATTGATAAACCATGGCCTGGCTAATGTCAAAAGAATTGCCAAGTAATGTTTTGTGACACTGTAATGCAGAGATGGCAAACAGTGTGTGTGTGGCCACTCCTTCTGCCTAAGCCTGGGGAAGATATTACTAATCAACCTTGGCACGCTTGCCTGCTAAACGCAGATCCTGCCTCAGCAGTCCTCAAAATACAGCACGTCTCACAATCACCATCAACAAATTAGCCTTGGCACGTGAACTTAAACCTATCTGCCATCCGTCCCTGTGCCGTCTCTAATTAACAAAAGATGTGGAAGGATTTTCCAAGCAGCACAAGTTTTAACCAAATATGTGACCTACAAATAATGTATTGCTTATAGTATATAGTCTAGAGAGATAAGTGTTCTACTTTTCTAAGAACAATACAGATTTTTTACTAGTAAAATAACAGCTGCCATTTATTGGGCTCCCACCAAGTGCTAAGAACACTTTATGTGTATTTCCATTAATCCTTTCAACAACAGACACTATAAGGCAAGTATTATTAAATTTCTTTAGTACTAAGATATCATCGATTTTAAAAGCTCTGGGGAGTGTTGAGGGAGGAAAAAGGAAGGAAAAATTACAATGTGTCCATTGATTGCAGCACTCAACCCAATATCAAGTGTGTCCAAATATATTTCTCAGAATTGAGGAATTATAATGATATGCACGCTATTACAGCTTAGGAAATGAGGCATAGCGAAGCCCAGAACCTTGTCCCCAGTCACAAAGACAGTAGGCTACAGAGCTAGAAGTTTTACCCAGGTTGTCTCACTCCACACAGACACCAGCAAAGAGAACACAGCCATTGGTCTACGACCTGAGATGATCTCCAGAAAGACAGCAGCCTCACCTCTCTGGGTAGGAACACAGCAATAGTTCATACACATTGACAATCAAACCTGGCTGTGACTCATTACAGATACAAAGTGAACATCAGGACTTTGGCTGCACTTTCTCTTCCCTTTAGTGAGACTCATAAACAGCCCCCAACCCTGTTCAACACACCCTCTGTCAATGAAGACTACGGAAAACAAAAACTCATCTGTGTGGAATATTACACAGCTCTGTAAAATGATGCCTAAAAGTCAAATTTATCTTTATGTGGGAAGACAAAACACTGCTAAAAGAAAAATTAGGAAATAAAATTGAATCGTGTAGTTTAATTTCTACTATATTTTTAAAAAGAAAAGAAAACAGCTATACACAAGAAGAAAGATGGGTAGAAAATAGATCAAAATCATTACAATGTTACGAGTGATTGCTTTCATTTTTTCTACTTTTCTGCTTCCCAAAGATTTTATTTTATATAGAAATAACCTTTTTTTAAAAAAAAAAAAAAACCTTAAAAATTGAGTCTAGGAACAGTAAAGGGCTTGCGCAAGGTTACATAGCCAAAGGCACCGGCTTAGAGCAGGTTAACAAGCAGCAGGACTCTGCCAGAAGAGCAGACTGCAAGCCGCTCTCTGCTCCCTGTGCTCCGAGCCAGCCCTTCTCTTTCACAAGATCCAGATGTGCCAAGTCAACACCACTTTTCTACCCGCAATGAGTGCAGCGATCTTTCATAAAGTCATGAAGACCAGAGTAAGATATTCCAGAAAGTACCTAGGACACTTGATAGTAGACGGTTATCTTTTTGTGATCTGCTGTCTTGACAACATTCCTTTAAAATTCAGGTTGCAGAGAGGAAAGAGCGAAGGCAGATGGGAGGAAGCTTAATCATGAAAAAACACGTGTGTCAAAATATGATTGAAAGCTGTGACTTCTGTCAGCCTTCTTTTGTCTAATGAGCAGATACCGGGGGAGGAGGGGCTCTTTCCTTCCTTTCCTTTGAATTTGCAATCCTTAGAAATGCACAACATGGACACTTTGTCTGGTATTCCTTCTTTGAAGATGCTCCTCGACTATTTTTCTAAGAATGTAATTCTAAAAGGATTTTTAAAGGTTCTCAGTTACTCATTATCGAATGCTCTGGTTTTGTTCTCCAGCCCCTCTTCCTATTTTCTGTCGCATTTCCTTGCTGTGGATTTTCTTCTGATATTACACGGCATGGAACCTGACTGCCCACACCAAGTTATTTCAATTACTCCCCAAGGTTTTTATTAGATATAGGAGAAGTCAGCTTTCCACATTCTGCATATTTATGGGGCTACACTTATTTTTCAGAACCAGCAAGAAAGAAAGAGGAATAAAAGGAAGAAAGAGGTGAATGGAATATTAAAGTGTTTCTTAAAAATGGTGTAGTAAGAATTAAAGAAACAGCTCCTATTTTCATCTTGATCCTTATGTAAGAGATCGCGAACATTTCTATACCTATCTCTGTCACGAACCACTGTCAGTGATCATAGAGCATTTTAAAACGCAGGATGTAGAAGTCATCTTTAATTCAGGGAATAATTCTCTGGTGTGGGTGTTAAGAACAGCGAGGCTCCTGCCAAGTCTTCTTCACAATCAGCAAAGGAGATGGCCTGCGGTGGCTTTGGGAGCTTCCAAGATGCCAAAGTGGCCCAGGGCGGGAGGCAGCAGGTGCACTGAAGTGGGAAGGGCCAAACCACCATGCAGCTGGCTGGCTCCTTGCAGAGACAGAAACGGATGTCCAGAGAACAAGGTCCCCTCCTTGTTGTCTCATAAAATCTTCTCCTTCCCTTGAAGTATAAAATCAATTGGTTTTGAATTTAGGCTCTGGGATTGGTGTGCACCTTGGGCCAATCATTTAATCTCTTTCCTCTGTTTCTGCATCTGTGAAATGGGGATCCTGGCTCAGTGAGCACAGTTGCCAAAGGCAACCCCATCTCATTCTGCGTTGCTTGGAAAACAAGCCAGTGTGAGTGGGGCGTCGTCGCCCTGTCCTCCTGGGGGTGAGGCTGCACCCAAATTGGGTGGGATGAGGGAGTGAGGGGGACAGCTGCCCCCTCATCTTCTGCAAACCCAGCCTCTCTCCATTAAAGCCAATTCCTTAAACTATGCCCCATGATATTGTAGAAATTGTCACAAAACCTAGTGCATCACTGACCCAGATGGGGCCGCCTTGCACAACAGGTATGATAACAATACATGCCTGAACTTCATGGGGCTGCCGTACGGTTCAGTGAGAAAATACAGGGCTTCCTAAATGCTCATAATTAGGATACCACCGAAACAATTGTCGCTAATTTCACCTACCAACTGTATTATTATTTACTCAGTATTTTAAAAAATCAGTCACTTTTTCAATGTCAAAAGTAGGGGTTTTTTGATTGACAATAACTTTACTTTTTTATTGCTATATAATGTGTTTTGGGGATACACGTGAGAATTTGATACATTCATATAATCAAATCAGGGCAATGGGGATAACTATCACCTTAAACACTTATATTTTCTTTACTCTAGGAACACTTGAATTATTCTCTTCCAGCTATTTTGAAATGTACAATAGATTAATGTTAACTGTAGTCACCCTACTGTTCTATTGAACACCAGGTCTTATTTCTTCTATCTAAGTATATATTCATACCCATTAATCAATGTCAAAAGTTTTCACAAAGAAACAAGTAGATTTGAAAAAATAAAAATAAACTTAAAACCACATGTCAATGATAAGAAGGCCTGTGGCTCCCAGAGTCAGAGGGCAGCAGAAGGGCATTGACCTCTGGGTGCCCAGGCCCATGGGGACAGCAGCAGGCAGGATGGTAATGGGGGGAGGGGTCGAGGCAGCTGGACAGGCCTGGAGTATCCAGCAGAAAGAAGAAGCTCCCTCTGGGAGGAAAGCACTGACCTAGGGATAGGAGTGGGGCATGATGAAAACTGGGATTTCAGTGGGATCCCAGTGTATGTAATATACATACACAATGGAACACTATTAAGCCTTTAAAAAGGAGGAAATCCTGCCATGTGCAATGACATGGATTAATCTTAAAGGCGTTATGCTAAATGAAATAAGCCAGTTAGAAGGACAAACACTGCATGATCCCACTCGTGAGTCATCTAGTCAAACTCACAGAGGCAGAGAGTAGAACGGTGGTTTCCAGGGACTGGGCGGAGGGGAAATTGGGAGTTGTTCAAAAGCTATAAAATTTCAATTATGCAAGATGAACAAATTCTAGAGATCTGTTGTATAACATGATGCCTATGGATGCCAATACTGTATTGTGCACTTAAAAATCTATTGAGAGTAGATCTCACGTTGTGTTCTTACACGATAAAATACAAAAATAGATAAAAGGCAAAAAATAAAAAGTAGAAGAAAAACAAATGTTAAAGTGATACAAAATTTATTGTTAAACAAATAAAAATCTGTAAGACATCTGCTTTCAAAGTAAATAAGACTCACTCGATTTTAAAAACAAACCACCTCCGGTTCCAACTTTGCATCACTGCTGCGCAGGCCGCCAGAGGAGGACACCCCATAACCCGCTGACAGGTTTCTGGGGTGCACACAGGCCCTCTTCACAGTTTCCAAACAAGGCTTTACTCACTTGGAATATAATGTCTTTGTCACCGGCAGCCTTCCT